ACAACTCTGATAAGATAGGCAAACAATGAGAACAGTTAATTCAGAAAACAAATGACAAATGATTATTAAACTTAGTTAACTCAACTTTGGTTCATAAGATTAGGTGAAACTTGATACATAATGATGTTATTTTCCCATATATTGTCAGAGATTTATAATATTCAGTGTTGGGTGGTAGACCAGTGATTCACAATGACATGTTTAATGAGGTCCCCTTAGTGACCTGAGATGAAATGTATAGATAATGTAAGCAGCTCACACACATAATTAAAAAAATCTTTAATAAAACAAAAGGAAGGTAATTTATGGCAAAATAACTTATTTCAATATATAATTTTTCTGCTGTGATCATTAAAATATAAATAAGTTAGGATTTAAGAGAAGTAAGAAGACTAGAAGCCATTCTACAAAGTAAGTAGCGGAAAATAAAAAACAGGTGGTATAAGGGGATATTAGAATAAAACCTAGTATTGGGTTAGTAATAACAGACCAAACTTATTTGTATATGATAAGAGACTGAGACAATAGCTTTAATTGAAAAAAGGATAATATGCGAAGGTAAATTTTCAACTGAGCGGAAGTGGTATTCTCACAAATGAGCCATGCCTTATTTATTTATTTATTTTGGGTCAAAATAATTCTCTACTGGGATGTGGGAGAGGGTGGTGACAGAGTAAATTGTAAGATTCAGTTCTCATTGACACCAAGTCAAACGGAAGTTCTCTCTTACCAGTAATATACTTGAAAATGCAGTGAATGTAATTAGACTTAACATAACTTTTTTTTTCTCTGTTTGATGGGTACCATGTAAAACAGAATATATTAAAATTCCTCTAATTTTAGGTCAAAAACCTTGTACTCGAAAAGAGTGTATGTATCTTTGTGTAGTTATGAATTTTGTGTATTCCAGTGTAATAGATCCTATGCTAGTGTATCTCATGCATCTTGTCTAACAAAGTCTGGTGGTTCCATACAAAGTGGTACACAGAATTGCCACAGAAAGTTCTAAATGGCCTGAAGGAGCTGAGTTCCAGTGTCCTAACTTCTTTATTTCTTTATAAATAAGTTAACGTGTATAATGTAAGACTAATTTGGTGGTACAGTTGTGTCTTAGTACAATGTAGAGGTAGTTTTAAAATATATTAGAAGTGATCTTAATTTCAGATTGATTTTATATATTTTTTGAGAATTAGTGATAATATGAATATTAAAATATGTGGGCAAGGAAGTGTCCTTGTGCAGGTAATACACATAATTGGAGCTCTATTAAGATGTGCTACTGTGAATAAATAGGTACTGGTGATTTGGCTGGACAGTATCTGTATTTTTGAGAGTTATCTGTTAAAATTTAAGAATACACATTCTGTTGGACCTAGAAATTCCACTTCTTGATACCTGTCAGAGAGATATTTATTGTACAGAAAAGAAATCTTCAAGAATGTTGATTGCAGCATTGCAGTATTTTAGGAAAATGGTAATGAAAAGGAAACTAAATAATGGAAATTCATTTCAGATAATATTATGAATTAAAAGGAATGTCTTGATATAGAAAGATCTTTAAGGCCAAATTAAGTAAATAAAGGAAATATGTATGAACCTATTTACGTAGAACAGCGCCAACAGAAAATACTCTGTGGTCCCATTTATGTAAAATAGCAACAATAAGCAAAACTATAGTCACAACTCTATTTCTGTATGTAAATATATTTTGTGGAAGGTTACATATCAGCAGATAACTATGGCTACCTCTGGGGAGGAGAATGGAATGGGTCCAGGGAAGGAGGACTTTCACTTGGGGTGTATCACTTCAATTTTGTGTGAGTAAAATGTATTCATATATATATATATATTTTAAGTCCCAGCTGAGTCACTTTGTTCATCTTTCAGTTTTGTGAGCTCTGTAGGGCAGGGTTGATGCTGTAATATGAACTTGTTGAAGATTCACCAAGAATTTTATCATATTTTGTCAAAAGACAGGAAAAGTCTGAAACAGGAATTTAATAACCTTAATAACCTAGCAAACTTTTCCTGGCTAGGTTATGTGATGAGGATGCATGATAATTGAGTTATTGAGAAGCTATTAAATGTGAAATAAAGTGGGGCAGTTACAAAATGAAAACAATAGGCCCTGCAGAATAAAGTAAGGTTTTATTCCATTTTAGGGTATCAATAGCTTACTGATACATTTGGTGGGACAGTTGTTAGGCACAGGATGATTCGTTTTAAATTACAGAGCTGATTTCCAACTGTCTGAGGTAGAAGTGCTCAAAACATCAGGCCTCAAACATGGGACCAAAACCACTGGAATTAACTATGGTAGAAGCATTTTGATGGCACTTTACAGTTCAGTAATATTGTCAACAGTATCCTATCTAGCATCTATTCATTATGGTAACACTTTAATTATTGCATCAAAGTGTTTGCAGAAGGGACAATAATAATTAAATGCTTATGTTGAAAGCTTTACATATGTCTTGCCATATGATACTCACAACCGTCCCACGGAGTTTGGACCTATTAGTATCTTCACTTAACAGGGTAAGAAACCGAGGGTCAGAGAGGTTAAGTGACTGTCCAGTGTCACATAGCTAGTGGCAGACTGGGGTTTCAGTTCCAGCAGTCCGACCTCAGAGTCTGCATTCTTAGCCTGTACCCTTAGAGTTGATAACCAGCTTGGGTGTCTCAAAGGCACTTCAGATTCACTTTAATTCAAAACTGAACTCATGAACCTTATCCCCCGGCACCCTCACCTTGGTGTTTTTTATGGTTCTCTGTCTCATTGAATGTCATCTTCTTTTCATCCAATTGCTGAAGCCAAAACTTTATTAGACACTCCTTAATACCTCCTTGCAATGCATTCAGTCCTCAATCCAGTCAATCATTAACTCATTTTACATTTACCTCTTGAATAGCTCTTGAGTCCTTTCACTTCCTTCTACTTCTAACTCAGCTAACCTCAGCCAAACCTATTATCTGTTGACTGGACTGCAGCTTGTGCCTGGAAGTGTCTAGCCCTGTACACTTTGGCATGGTCTCCAAATATAGAAACGAATCCTCCCCACTGGTTGTATATGTGTGTTTATACAATACTTAAAACTCTCTCAATGGTTACTCCTTATTTTTTAACAGGGCCTGTAATGACACTATCTGGCTGGTGCTGACCTCTCCTCTCATTGGGTACTCTTCTCCTCCTTCTGGCATGACTATTTTATGATTTCTCCTATGTTGTTCCTGTCTGTAATCCAGCACCCCCCTCTCCCCCAATACTCATCTTCCCAATCTCAACTCAGATAGCACTGTCTTGGATAAGCTTTCCCTGTCTATCCCTGTTTGCCCCCAGACCATATCAGTTCTGGTTACAAATTACTGTAGCACCGTTCAGAGCATGTAAAGCATTTTGAATTGTATATTTCTATGATTTTTTTAATTGATGTTTGTCTTTCCTTTTTAGACTATAGTTCCTTGAGGGCTGAGCGCCATAATGTGTACTCAGTACATTTGAATGAATTAATATCTAGTCTTAACCACTTGGTTTTCTTCTGAGGAAACTAAAGCATGAACAGTGTAGCAAGTCTCATTTTTCCTTCAAGTGTGGAGTTAGATTGCTATTTACTAGCTGAAGGTAGTTATTTAACCTCCTCAAGTCCCAATTATTTTATCTGTTCCACAAGGATAAAAACAGTACCTACCTCTTAGGTTGCTTTGGGGATTACGTAAGTCAATAAATGTAAAGCGCTGGGAACAGTGTTCAACACATAATAAAGGACTCAGTTAGTGGTAGCTGTTGTCATTAGTATTGGGACCTACCCAAGGTCATTCAGCTGTTTAATGCAGAGCCTGCCCTAGAAACCAGTTCTCCTTCATGGTTTTCTCCTTGCTGAGATCACTGGGAATTCTTGTATATTTATTCTGCTATGAGCCTAAGTTCGTTGAAAAATGGGTTTGAGCAGTTTCTTGCATAGAGAAGGCATGCGCACATTTTGTTGTCTTTCGTTTAACCTAATTACAAATAAGGATTACCCCTTTCCCTCAACCCCCGCCCCTCCCCCACCTCGCCCCACCTGGTGGAAGGCATTTTTGTTATACAAGGAAAATTTGAGTTTCCTTGGGGAACAAGAAGGTCGGGTACAGATTTTAGAGGACTTCGAATATCAAATTAAGGTCTTTGAACTCGGGTATTTTGGAAATAAGAAATAAAGGATTTTAAACGGGGTGAATTCTGCGCATGGAATTGGTTTTAGAAAATTGATCCGACTACAGCAATTGGAATGGGAGGCTGGATTTAGATGATGCTCTCTGATAAGATTAGGGAAGTTAGGAGGGAGAGCTTGGCTTTGTAGGAGAAAGAATGAACTTCCTGTAGATTCAGGTTGAATTGCTTTTTGGAGTTCTAAGTGGAGGTGGCTTCAGGTTAAGTACATGGGACAGAGCCAGGAGAGAAACCTAGGATGAAAATACTGAAAGCTATGTAGTAGGACAAAAAGAGTATTAACACCTGGTGTACTAGCAAAAAAGCTGATCCCACAATGCTTGCCTGTGAGAAGGAGTTGTTAGCTATTGTGTACTTCTGTATATATTGAAGATAAAAAACCATATTTTAAACAGTATTCTGTAACTTAGAATTTTCACCAGTAAGCGTGGCCTTCAACTAGCTAGTCTGATTTAATGATGTAAAATTTAGTAAAATGTGGCAGATTACCTTGGTGGTGTTTAAGGAGAGAGGAGTTGAAGGGAACATGCTGTTATAAAGTTCTTCTTTAAAAGGCTGTAGAAAAGTGGTGAATATTAGGCATCAGATTGATTTTATAAATATATATACCACTTCTTCAAAATTATGCTTGAAAAGGAAGGTAAACATGAAAATTAGGGTAAAGCTCTTGAAGTGAACCTCAAGGTGGTAGTAGATTCCTAAGTCCCAAGTCAACTAGCTGTGTATACGGGAGTCTGTATCCTGAATACGTCACTAACTCAAATGACTTTTTTTTTTTCCCCTTAACCAGGAATTGTGGTGCTTGGAATAAACAGAGCTTATGCCAAAAATTCATTGAGTACAAATCTTATAAAAATGGTGAGTGTAAAGATTAAACTATTTGCTTCTAATATTAAGATACAGTGTTGATATCAATCTGAAAATGATTTTCCCCCCTTTTCCTTCTTACCCTCTTGTTTCTGTTTAGCTTTCAAAAGCTGTGGATGCTTTAAAATCTGATAAGAAAGTACGGACCATAATAGTCAGAAGTGAAGTCCCAGGGATATTCTGTGCTGGTATGTAAATAGATTAAAATTTTAAAACGAGTCTAATTTTTCCTTAGTAGTAGCCTATTTTCCATTATAAAGTGTTCTGTGGTTTGAATTCCATTACCAACAATTCCTTTTTGGTTTTTTTTTTTACTGTTTTACAAGAAAAAAAAATGCTTTGTCAGTATTAGAAAGAAACCTTTGCTGCGTGTGGAAAAAGTTGTTTTGGAAGTTGAAAAATAATTTGAGCCATTAAAATATATGTTTGTAGTACATGAATAATATTTATGAAAGATGAGCTGTGCAGGAAAAATCACATCTCCTACTCACAAGTGTGCTCTGTATTAAAAAATGCTTTAATTGACTAGCAGTAGCTACCCCAGTATGGAATGTTAAATATAGACATGTGCTTTCGTGTTTGTAGTAGTGCCCACTCAAGTATGTGTCCACGAATTGTACTTTTAAATTGGTATCTACAGCGGCGAAATGTTTTTTCTGCTTGTACTGTGTTACCAAAAGCCAAAGATTAAGTTGTCTTGCATTTTCCATATTTGTAAATATTTCTAAGTCATGAGATTGAATGAATCTGTTTCAATTAGTGAAAAATGTAGATGATTAAATGATAAAAGATAAAAAATGCTGACAATATACCGGATCATTATAATTTACTAATAAGTAAATGAAGGCAGACGTTGACTGAGGCGTAAAAAAATTTTTTTCAGTAAAAATATAAATGGGATAATCCATTTGAGATAATCAGACATTTGAGGGAACAACATACAGTATTTTATTCATTCAACAAGTATTTTTTGAGCATTTAGAGTATACCCAGAGCAATGCTGGGACTTGGAGGAGCATTTCTAGACAGAATGTTTTTCGAGGTGTCTTAGTTGAGGCTGATGTTCTTCAGTTTCATTGTTAAAGGTCCTCAGATTTTCCAAGCTTCGAACTCCATAGCTTCCACCTTAAAATATTACAAAATTTTATGGTATTTAGGAACATTCAGTGTAAATGAGTTATATTTTAGCTTTTGATACAATGTACCATACGTAAAAGGATTAGTTTTAACTTGTTTGGCAGTCAAAGAGAGTAGGATTATTATGCTCAACTGCCTGGGTGATGACAATTTGCAGTACAGTCTTCTGCTTTTACATCTGTCCAACTCGAGTAACACTATCCTCCTGGTAGGATCGTTGGAGGCTTGATGTGACAATGTACATAAAACACAGTGCAGTAGTCAATAAATTATAGCTCTTAATAGTTTTTATAAGGGCTTTACATATATTTAAACATTTTTTCTTAAACAGTATGAAAAACTTACACTGAGAGAATTAGAATTCTTGTATCTGTGACCTTAGGATCAGGTGACTGGGTGACTGAGTCTAACTTCGTGACCAATGGCTCTGAGGTCACTGTACTCAGGTCCTCTGAGGGCTGGTGAGGGGCTTATTGGGAAGACGTTGAGCAGTTTGGGGGCTTTTAAGGAAGGCCCAATTATGTGAATGTTTGAGGAGTGATAGTGATAGTGGCAGAATAACGCTTAAGAAAGAAAGAGTTGATTATAACTAGCATTACTGTCTTTCTGTTGGTAATGGGTTTTGTAATTATAACACTATAATGACTGGTAGAATTCTTCTTGTTTTACCTATTCCTTTGCTGCCCATTGGTTTTGTGTCTCCACATTACCGATGTTCTTTGGAAAAGGCTTTAATGCTTTAGCACAGGTTACAACTATCTTTTATAGGTTGCCTTTTTGGGGACATACTAGGTAATATACCAAATGCTTTATCAGATTAACAAATTATCATTGAATACTTTTTTCCAAGGGCTTATCAAATCTATTTTCTTTGTTCTGTGTGCTTTTGCATGATCAGGATAATTTTTTCCTATGTTTTAACATAAGATTTTTTGCTGTATTTTGTCCAAAAAAAAGTGTGAATTATAGAAAAATTGGGGCAAATCATTTTAGTAACTTAGAGTATATAAATAAAACCATTCTTTCAAATTTCTCTGAAAGGTTTTCTTACGTATATTTGAAACAGGCAGTTTAGTATGTCTGTCTTTATTAATATTTTATTAATATTATATTTAATATTAATATTTATTAATATGTACACATTAAGTGTATTGTATGTTTAGATACACAGAATCTCTTTACATACTTAAAACAAATATTTAAACTTATTATAGCCTATAAAAATAGTAGTATAAAAATTCTAATTTTTTTCTTTTGACATTTGTTTTCTTTTATCAACACAGACGTCAGTTTCTTTTTTTTTATACAGCAGGTTCTTATTAGTCATCAATTTTATACACATCAGTGTATACATGTCAATCCCAATCACCCAATTCGTCACCCCCCCCCGCCCCCACCGCTTTCTCCCCTTGGTGTCCATACGTTTGTCCTCTACATCTGTGTCTCAATTTCTGCCCTGCAAACTGGTTCATCTGTACCATTTTTCTAGGTTCCATATATATGCGTTAATATACGATATTTGTTTCTCTCTTTCTGACTTACTTCACTCTGTATGAGAGTCTCTAGATCCATCCACGTCTCTACAGATGACCCAATTTCGTTCCTTTTTATGGCTGAGTAATATTCCATTGTGTATATATACCACATCTTCTTTATCCATTCGTCTGTTGATGGGCATTTAGGTTGCTTCCATGACCTGGCTATTGTTAATAGTGCTGCAATGAACATTGGGGTGCGTGTGTCTTTTTGAATTGTGATTTTCTCTGGGTATATGCACAATAGTGGGATTGCTGGGTCATGAATACCAGTGATTTTTAATCTTTCGGGGTATGAGGTCTCCTTTTTAAGTTCTTAAAATTTCATGCACTTACACATTTTAGTGGTCCTATGTTGATTGAGAAGATGTGTAATGTCAGAATGCCACTTTGGTTACAGTAATGTATTTAAATGAATTTTCTTTTACTAACCACAATGATAATCTAGATACAGAAAAATTTGTATCATAGTTATCATGGCTGTAGACGAAGTTTTCTATACATATATGCTTTCAGATACCATTCCATACCCTAGGCATGACTCCAGGTTGGGAATCGATGTTACGTTTTCTTTCTTGTGGGTTCGAACATTGCTTTTGGGTTTTATAGCTTACCTATACTTCTCTTAGAATGCTGAGAAATATCATTTTGATAGTCAAAGCTCATTGTGAAGCATTGGCTACATAGGTTGTATTAGAGATTGGCCTGAATGTGTGCTGTCTCCCCTGCATACTCTAGAAATTATTCTTTTATTCATTTAAAAATTTTATCTTGTTTTTTACATACACACAAACACATACACACACAAAGAAAAACTGAAATAATTTTGCTATTTCAAAATATTTTGGAGTCAAAATTTTAATATATTACCTATAATGAAATTATGAAAAAGACCTTTTGACTAGGCTATTGCATTGTGAGTAAACATTTAATCCTAGTCATCTGTTTATTTTTGTTCTTTCAGTGTTCTAACACTAAGTAGCAAAGTAGATATGCATTGCTTTTATCATGAAAATTTTATGAGAAATTTCTGAGACGGAGGATTTTTTCTCTTGAAATTCCTGAAATAGAGTATAAACAATTCTTGGTAATTGATTCCTGTGTGTAGAACTCTAAATTGAGTGTTTCACTGAATTATACTAGTGTGGGTTTTTTTAAAAAGTAAAGGTACTTTTGCTTCTGCTTTTGAGTTCTAGTAAATTATGTTCTGACTAAAAACTTCTCACTAAAATGTCAGTGTGCTTTATTGAATGTTGTATTGTTCAAATGGTTGTAGATGTCATGACATGGTTGGATTTATGGAGGCCTCTGACTAACAAAGTTATCTAGTCAGTATTGTTTCAGAATCTTAGGTTAAGTTACATTTGTATATTTGAATGTTAGTCCCTTAGAGAGTTTGATAAGTAAACAGGAAGGATAGATAATCCACAAATTTGTATTAGTTTAACATAGGGTTCTTTTCTTGGAAATAAAAAAAAATGTGTGTTATAGAGGTATGAATTACTTGCAGTAAAATGTACCAGTTTTAGTACATATGTAATTGATTAGTTTTGACATGTTTAAACCATGATGACAGTTGTGATATAGAACATGTTTATCCCTTAAAAAGCTTTCTTTTTTCTTTTTTAATTGAAGTATAATTGACCTATAATACTATGTTAGGTCCAGGTGCACAACATAGTGATTCATTCTTTCTATATACAAAATGATCACCATGATAAGTCTAGTTACCATCTGTCACCATATAGTTATTAAATATTATTGACTGTATTCTCCATGGTATACATTTCATCCCTGTGACTCATTTATTTTGTAACTGGAAGTTTATACCTCTTAATCTCCCTCACCTATTTCATTCATCTCCCTACCCTCAGCCCCTTTGGCAACCACTTGTTTGTTCTCTATCTATGACTCTGTTTTTGTTTGGTTATGCTTATTTGCTTTATAGATTCTACATACAAGTGAAATCATGCAGTATTTTTCTTTATCTAACTTATTTCACTTAGCATAATGCCCTCTAGGTCTATCCATGTTCTTGCAAATGGCAAGATTTCATTCTTTTTCATAGCTGAGTAATACTCTGCTGAACATATAGGTATATGTATCACATTTTCTTTATCCATTCATTTATCAGTGGACACTTAGGTTGCTTCCATATCTTGGCTGTTGTAAATAATACTGCAATGAACATATGGGTGCATATATGTTTTTGAATTAGTGTTTTTGTTTTCTTTGGAAGGATACCAAGGAGTGAAATTGCTGGATGGTATGATAGTTCTGTTTTTAGTTTTTTGAGGAACATCCATACTGTTTTTCATAGTGGTTGCATGAATTTATATTCTCACCAACAGCGCACAAGGGTTCCCTTTTCTCCACATTCTCCCTAACACTTGTTATTTGTTTTCTTTTTTTTTTAAAAATAATAGCCATTCTGACAGGTGTGAGGTAATATCTCACTGTGGTTTTGATTTATGTTTCCTTAATCATTAATAATTTCATGGATCTGTTGGCCATCT